TTCGGACGACTCCGGAGTGGAATCAGAGACTTAGCATGGAAGGACCTCGGCCTCAGCGACTCAGGTGGAGCGCTGTGCCATTGCTGGTTGTCCTGGGGGTCCCTAATTTCGGATCTAGCAGAGGGGAAGTCTCTTGGGGGAATTCAAGTCGATTTCGGACTGAGGTTACAAGTTACTATGTACATTGTATATAAGGAGGGGTCCGGAATCAAAAGGAGCGAGGGTAGGACGAAAGGAGACAAAGGGAGATGGAAAGAGGAACAGCACCGAGGGTCAAGGGTTTGACTCAATGGTGTTTCTCAAAGGAGGAATGAAGGGCCAAGGCCCAAGGAGGAAGGAAGGAGGTTGGGAGTGGGGAATGGCTAGCTGACTGAATAGAAAGGAAGCAACAGCCCAAATAGGAATGAGGGAGAATAGCGGAATTGAATGGAGCAATGCAATAGTTGCAAGGTCCGACATAAGTCCGGAAAGTCCGAACTCGGAAGTTAAACTCCGGAATATTGGCAAACATAATTAAATGGAATGAGCTAACCAATACAATGGGTATAAGCGGAGGTGGGGTCAAAGTCCGAGGTCGGAGCTAAGACCGGAGGTTCCGGAGACGGAGACACGAACGGGATTCCGGAGCGGAGGTCCTGAGTCGGGAGCATAGGTTTTGCGTACTCGTCTGGAAGGTGTTGAGGTTGGGGTCGGACCCGGAATGTTCCAGAGTCGGACCGAAGGTGGTGTCCGAGCCGGAGGTGGGATAACCTCTTGGGAGTCGGCAAGGAGAAAGTGACGGAAGGGAAGTAGGGCTCCGGAAGTCGGGGTTCGGAGTTCCAGGAGCCCGGAGCGGAGGTCGGGATTGTATGGATATGACACAAGATATATATTCCATTCCTGAGAATTCCCGTTCTCAGTCAAATCTCCACCAGACTTCACAAAATCGGTATTGATAGAAAACTATGGATGAGGAGAGTCGAGTGGGATAAAGGGACAGAGGTTTGATGCAGTGTTTGGAGTGGTATGAGGAAGTTTGTGTTTTTCTTTTCAATTTCCTTTGTTGTTTGGAATTTTATTCTAAGCCAATGGCAGCCGAACCTTACCGCCGTTGTTGGTGGAGGCTTAGCTCAGCCAAACTCATATATTTCGGACTCTTTTCACAGATTGTATGTTTGCTGTATGGGTATATGTACATAGCGATTGAAACAGATGAGAGATTTTCCCCTCCCGCTACTTTTGAAGTCCTTGCACTTGGGTGCTGTGAGTGGCCACACGATTGGTAAAGGGCTATCGTGACCTTTAGGAAAATCCACCACAGAAAGAAGATAAGCAGGAGTTATCAGAATTATATATATTTCCCCAAATTCCCCCCCCCCCCCCTCCCGTTGATTATATGGACCTGTTCATACTGCAACACCCCTTTTAGCCCCCTTTCCCTTTCTTCCCCAGCTTTTGGGGAGTGAGTTGGAGTGCTACCTTCCGTTTTCTGGAGACAGTAGCCAATTCCTGCTTGCAACGTCCACTAGCGCATTCCTGCCTCTGCTAGGCAATTCACTTGCTTGCCCTGCAAGTCTACCTTCAGGCCTATCCCTCCTTTCCACTTGTGGGTTATAACCCATCATTCCACTAAACCCGCAACCCGACTCATCGGTAATATTCAGTTGGCTAACATCTATCCCTGTTAGCTCTGCTCCACTCGGTCCTGCTATTCATGGGCCCACCCTTGCTGTAACTATATATACATAACTTGTAGATTGTCATATCCATACAATCCCAACCTCCGCTCCGGGCTCCTGGAACTCCGAACTCCGACTTCCGGAGCCCTACTTCCCTTCCATCACTTTCTCCTTGCCAACTCCCAAGAGGTTATCCCACCTCCGGCTTGGACACCACCTTCGGTCCGACTCCGGAACATTCCGGGTCCGACCCCAACCTCGACACCTTCCAGACGAGTATGCAAAACCTATGCTCCTGACTCTGGACCTCCGCTCCGGTATCCCGTTCACGTCTCGTCTCCGGAACCTCCGGTCTTAGCTCCGACCTCGGACTTTGACCCCACCTCCGCTTATACCCATTGTATTGGTTAGCTCATTCCATTTAATTACCTTTGCCAATATTCCGGAGTTTAACCTCCGAGTTCGGACTTTCCGGACTTACTCCGGACCTTGCAACTATTGCATTGTCCATTTCAATTCCACTATTCTCCCTCATTCCTATTTGGGCTGCTGCTTCCTTTCTATTCAGTCAACTAGCCATTCCCGACTCCCATCCTCCTTCCTTCCTTCTTGGGCCTTGGCCCTTCATTCCTCCTTTGGCAAACACCATTGAGTCAAACACTTGACCCTCGGTGTTGTTCCTCTTTCCATCTCCCTTTGTCTCCTTTTGTCCTACCCTTGTTCCTTTTGATTCCGGACCCCTCCTTATATACAATGTACCTAGTAACTTGTAACCTCAGTCCGAAATCGACTTGAATTCCCCCCAAGAGACTTTCCCTCTGCTAGATCCGAAATTAGGGACCCCTAGGACAACCAGCAATGGCACAGCGCTCCGCTTGAGTCGCTGAGGCCAAGGTCCTTCCATGCTAAGTCTCCGATTCCATTCCGGAGTCGTCCGAATCTGCACCTTTCTAACATAGATAGGTTACACCCTAGTGCTAAAATCGACTAGAGTTGATCCCCCTTTTTAGTTCTTGTTGCCAGTAAGTAAATTAGGGCATGGATGTGTAACTTGGCACAGTGCTCCTGGCCTGAGTCGCTGAGGCCAAAGCCCTCTGCCATGGAGACAACTCCCTCATCTCACTCCGGTCTCTAACACTTGGTGTGCAGTGCTGCATTGGTGCTGAAAGTTAAGCTGAGTTTGTTCAGTTCCTTGTATGGTAGGGACTTGGCTATTGTCATATCCATTCCCGGCCATCGACTTCCGGTCCCTCCGATCCCTCCGGCCTACCTCCACTCCTTCTTTACTAACCTCAGAGCTCCCGTATTCCACAATCCTCTCGGTACCCCTCGATGGTCACCACCCCCTCCTTTCAATTTATTACCAATGCCTCCCTAAGTATGGAGCCCTGAAGACTTCCGGACAGCTCTGACGTCCGCTAGCGCACTCCTGCCTCCGCTGGGCAATACACTTGCCTGCCCTGCAGAGCCCACCTTCGGGCCCATCCCTCCTTTCCGTTTCTGGGTTATCGCCTGCCTTTCCGTTAACCCCACGACCCGACTCGTCGGTAATATTCAGTCGGCTAATGTTTAACCCCATTAGCTCCGCTCTGTTCGGCTCCACCATTTGCGGACCCGTCTTTGCTGTAACCATATATATATCCAACTTGTACATAGGTTACACTTCAGTAATAAAAATCGACTAGAGTTACCCCCCTTCAGTTCTGGTTGCCAGTTAGTAAGTTAGGGCACGGACATGTTACTAGGCACAGCGCTCTTGGCATAAGTCGCTGAGGCCGAAGCCCTCTGCCACGGAGACTTTCCTTCGTCTCGAACCTGGTCTCTGACAGCTATGGCTAGTCACATGATGCCATAGTCAATGCTTTTAAATTTAAATTTAAATATTGGGTAAATTAAACACTCAGGGAGCTCATATAGATAATAGTCCCCTGTGTGAAAATATAGCTCTATGAGCTCTCAGGCCTCCACATTCAGGTTTGCTGATGTTGGGTGAGATAGGGAAAATTGTGGGGAATAACTGGCACATTTCTCAGACTTTCCAACTACATGTCCCCATAATCCCAAATTTGGTATATCCTTGTCAGGGGACGACTCCTGGGTCCCCATGACCCTCCCCTATGGTCCACAGTCCTAGGTGTAACTAGCCCTGTCCAGGGCACAACCTACTGTGGGTCAGAGATGTTATATATAAGAGAGGCAAGTATATACAACTTGCCTACTGTGGGTCAGAGATGAGAAGGAAGTTAACTTCTCATCTTGCCACAGTGGCCACCATACATCGAAAACTTCCAGAGATATCCAGAAGTCACATGAGACCCGAGACCCAAGGTCCGGGCCATCCGGCCGCACTGAGCATTCGGCACAGGGCACGCACGGGGAGCGCAACAGCCGGGTGCAGTCGTGGGTGCAGGTGCGAGTGCAGGTGTGGATGCAGGTATGGGCTAGGTCAGGGTGTATGCCCTGACAATCCTTCCAACCAGTTACTTCATGATCAATAAGTATTTTTCCAAGGTCTGAGGGACACCAGAGACTGTCTGTGCACCCCATTTCCCACACATGCACAATGGACATCTGACATCTGATCCTCGTATCTCAATGAGTTCCTATCTGATTCTCCTCATGCAACATGTGTTGGAATTGTCTCCACATCCTCTACCATCCATATTATGGGCCCATCACAAAATTCCTAGCCATCTTTCCACTGTAGGTTTTCCACTATTTATCCTACATGTGAAACCCGATAGGCTGCATACTTGCGGCCCTCCCTAATTCATTCTGTATTTATCATGTTGGGTTTATGATAGTTCATTTTCTCATTGTACCATGCAGTCCCAAGCTGCACTAATCACATGTAATTACATTATGTATATATAACCTACATGTAAGGGATTGACCTTACTTCACTATAATTCCCATTATAGTGATGCTGTTCTTTATTTATTTATTTGTGCCGAGATATGTAAATTACATATATATACCTCGGAGTAGTTGTAAAGGCCTGGTAGCCTTTTACCTCTACCCCATTGAATATACAGCTCATCAAAGCTTATGTTTAGACAGACTAACTGAGGCCTGAGGTGAACGGGGGAACGGAACATTACTGTCCCCAAAATAGTAAGCAACCCTTTCACTACATAAGAGGGGATAAAGGAAAAAAGCCTTTACTCCCCTGTTGATAAGATAGCTTCATACAGTGTATATCTGATGGACTGGGAGTGTGAGGCAACACTTGACTATTGCGAGATCACTTGCGAACTCAACAACTTATAACCTGCTTACACTCTGACTGGCACAAGTCTAATCTGACACCAGCATGCCAACTTCATAAACATGACCAGGATCTTCACCCTATTCATTGCCATTTCAAAGAGCAGGCCAAAAAAATTACATTGCATTGCTGGCAAAACTGATTACTGTGGGGTTGGAAAAAGAAGAAAAGAAAAAAGGACTTCAAAGTGATTGTAATTCTTTAAGTCCTTGCTCAGCTGATAAAACAGAACCCTCTACCATCCTCTGTCCAAGAGAACGGAGGTTTTCAGGAACACCAAACATATCATCTGCTGCAGCAATAAGTCTCCCAACACCCCAAATGTCAACCTCTGCACCATGGTCATCCTTGAATGCTTGTGGTGCATGTGTATCAGGACGTAAATGAAGGACTGCCCTGGTTGGAGGGATGGCAGCATCTTCCCAGTCAATGAGGAACCACTGCTTGTGATTGGTGATGTTCCGTATGACATTTGGCCAGCAAATGTCTCGATGAAACACCTGTGGTTTAGCATGGGATACCTACAAACTCCATGAACCCAAATCAATAATCCTATACAGATACTTACCTGGAGGGCCTCAAGGACACAGATGACCGCATTCTTAACATCTTCAGCAGACCCCACACCTTTGGCATCGCCTCGAGGTTCAAGTTCAACAAAGCAACCATGTTCTGGATGGGACAATTCAATTCTTGTAAGGGAGTCAACATTTGGCACGCCTTTTGCTTTGAGTTTGCCATAGATAGATTGAAGAAAGGAAACTTTTGGTTCATCTTCTGCCCGATATTTCTTCCATATCTTCTTCTTAAAAAATTCAATGGATTTTCCATCATTGCTAACCTCGGGGTTAGGTTCAATGCAAACAAGATACACAAAAGATACTCACCGTTCCAATGTCAACATATCAGCATCCACAGCTTTTCCAACAGTACGTTCTAATGCCCGGAGAACCTTGACCATTCTGATCATCATTGCCGCATTTTTGATACGTCCTTGCATTGTTGACAGATCTGCAGCTAGAATGTCTTTTAAAACGATTTGGTCCCCCCCCTGGGCAGACTGGATTGCTACAAGTGTGACATCAGCACCAACGGCATAGTAGCCTAAACATGTGGGTCAATAACAGGTACTAAGGGAGAAGAATTACATACCAAGCACATACGGAGCAGGGTCATAGGCCCATCGAGTCTTTTCAGCGAGCTCCTGACGAGGATGTTTTCCAGAAAACGATGGCTTTTTCTCCTCCCCCCGGAATAAACAGGCCAATTGCAAGAGGAGACCAACATCAGGCCTGAAAGACCCAGCATGCGTGCCGTGGTTGCTGTTGCGTATCCACTTGGGCCCGTCAAGACACGTCGTGAGAATATCCAGGATGTTGCGGTCCCAGAATGAAATGAACGAATCTTCAGTACCTGATGAGTCCGGTGGAGTCCGGAGGATTGCTGCCTGTAATATGGGGAAGATGAATCTAGCCCTCTCATCCTCATTCTTGATGAAGAGCATCTCAAGGTCATCTGAAGAGCAATGATATTTAGGGATCATCAGGTTCGTTTGCAGGAGGTCCCGCCATTCTAGATCGGAAATGGGGATTTTCTCCTCGGGATCAAGAGGTGCATCCAGATGGATACTCAGATCGGTAGCGTTAGGCATAAATGTGAGTGGAACATTCCATTTATCCAACAACTTCTTTGAAATATCCACTGCAGACAAATGAGAAATGTTTCCTTCAAATAAAAAGTCGCGAAGACCTACCCGGATCCTCACGCTTCCTCTTTCCGACATGAGGCACTTGGACGACGAGATGGAGATAGCTTTCCTCGGGACCTTCCTGCCAGTATCTGGATATCTTTTGTGCAGGGCTGAGAACCTGCACGGGGCCGTTCCCCTCCAGCGCCTCGCGGCGTGCAGGATCAGGGAACTCAATTGCTTTGATCCATTGATTAAAAGCTGCGACTTCGGCTTCTGTAACCCCCGTTGGTATTGGTGGCGAGAGCTTCCACAAAACCAGCTGGTCTGCATCCAGGTGATCCATTTGGTGGGATTTCTCAGACTTGATAGCCCTGCGAAGGTGGCTAACCAATGCGCGAGGCGACACATCCATAACAAACACGGTACCGAGGGGGTTTCTTCCACGGTCAACCGCCATGCAGGTAAGAGTGATGGAAGTGGCCATGGGCAACTGTTCTAGTGTTTAGCAGCGACAAGGGCCGGAAGACCGGCAACAGCCGTTCGCTCTGGGCAGTAAATTGCAAACTCAATGCCAACTTCATCAAATAATCAGTAATCATACTTGTAGGAATAAAGGCTCCAAACGCACAACGGCCTAATATTAAGCTGGCGATGAATGCTGACGTCACAAATGACTCAATCGAGATGCGAATATTATTACATAAACATAAACATATGTTTCAACCTCTGTGTCTTAGGTGACCTTGGTTGTCTTAGATGAGTGGATTTCATGTAGTATGTTGTTTGTGCTCATCCATGTCTACCCACCCTGAAGTGATCTGATCACGAAATTGCCGTGTGCTTGACTCAGCAGCTGCTGCAAATGCACACCACCGGTGCTCTCAACATCATGAGTCGGGGACTCTTCTCCTTTTCTCGAATATTGCTGAAAGAGACCATGACCTCAAACTAATCTCTCACGCCAGGAAGAATAGCAACACCAGCACCTGCGGAAATAGATCCATTCTCCCAGCCCAACCACAATGCCCCTGGCTAGTACGATTTCCGACCATGAATATTTTTGCGGTGTGCCCGGACACGAGTTCGCCCAACGATGATGGCAACCTGTTCCGTGGGCCGATTGGTGGCACCAAATCAAACAAGATGCCTGAGCTGCATGAGGTGTTATGGCTGCTTTCACTCAGTGGGCATCCGTGAGCACCGGAAGGTGTTGCGTTATACATTCCATGTTACGCTGACAACCGTGACATCTCGCGACCCGGCCGTTTGCACGCTACAGGCCTCGCTCGTGTTGCTGTGAATTTTCGTAAAACAAATTTTTCGCGCTGTTTAACTTCGACCGTAGGCTTGTTGGGTTACCCAGCACTGGTGGCGAAGTCGAACCATAGATTATCAACGCAGCGCAGGCTCGACACAGGTGCCGCGAACGCGAGAGGAGACCGAATGCGAGTTTTTCGTCGCGAAACTAATGATAATTCGCGGTTTTCGAGCAACGGTGGAATGTGTACGTGCGATTCCCATAGGCATTGACAGCCCGTTCAGGCTCCGGTGGACCGTCGTGCTCGACGGCACCGGTACATCGGCTTCGGGCGTTCCCATCGAAGGTGACCAATCTTGAAGACACAAAGAATCTCGTGACATTCTCCTATCTCCATTTTTTCCAGCGGTTCTCGATGAGTAATTTCATCAACTGTTGGTTTGCCATGCTACCCCATCTCTCATGGCTGCCATTCGTGCTGCATGTGACTCATTCGTGGGCTCTGTCTTCTAGTCCTGAAGTCTCCTCCTATTGGGATTGTAGCACCACCTCTCCTTTACTGCAGGATCCTCGGCGACGTTGCAGAAAGTGCAGACACAACCCAACCCTACACTGGCTAAGTACCTTCGCTGGGACGGTGCTCGACCCTCCCTCAGGCTCGTGCTCCTAAACGTTCCCGGACTCGAAAACATACCACCTCTTTTCACAACTCGGATGCAGGAGCTTTGCCAAGAAACCTGAGTGACGGCCTTATAACAACTTCAAACTGAGCGGCTTATTGGTTGGTTGTTCGGCGCCGCTGAAGGCGTACATTCAGCAGCACCTCGCTCAACCGACGTTTATGAAGATGTCGAATAGTAAACAACACAATTCAGATTTGCCTCCGAAGAACTATTCCCCCCCGGTTCGGCTCGTGATTCCTTTGAATCTCAGAAGCGCGCTGTTCTCGCTCTGGTGACTCGATGGACTTCTACCACTGCGAAAAACTGATTCAAGTGGGATGAACCCTCAGGAGTGGGCTGGTGCTCCGATGATTGTCAAATGTTACATTGTTATTTGGCCAAAAGCATCGCATATTCGTTGAACCGTGTACATCGACTGGAAACAAAGTAGAATAAAGTCTTGGTTAACGATTTCCTCCGGCTGTTATAGGGCTTCCTCCGGCTACTATGCTTCGCTGGGGCTCTGACCACCAAAAATCATGTATGAATTTGGTATCTAGGAAATCCCTTTGCTCCACGAGTTTCCCGCTGGCGTTGAAGCGGAACCTGTGTACGTATGAAGTAGCGATCGGGTTTCCTTCCGCTGAGACGGCAGAAGGCTACATTTAGGGACTATTCAGCACTCCAGTGCAAAAGCATAGTCATGAATGGACACACCCCCAGCTTTGTGTAGAGGATTACGTTATTTTCGTTTCCCACCACGTTTAAGACGATCATCTAAACGAGAAGTTTCTCGGTGTGCACTCATCACATGCATAATCGGACTGCACACCTGCATTCCTTTCATCGCTGGCCACCAAGCGGTACCGAATGCCTCGATGAATTCTGACTTTTTCATCTGATTCCATCCCGGCGAGATGATGGACTCTGGAAGTGCGTTCCAGACATAGTCGTTCACAACGCACTCATCTATGATGGCCTTCATGGTGTCATAAGAGTATGAGGTCAGGCGTCACAGAGCCGCAGAGTAGTTTTCACATTGGGGGACGGCTCTTTGAGAGTGGCGGCAAGGTGTTCGGTGAGTGACAGGCATGTCTCGATAGTGAACACCCTCGGACCTTGGGACTCTGACACTTATATTGCGTGTTTCCCTAGAATTTCATATGCATGATGCACATTGCGATAAGCCCTATATTGATAAACCAGAAACCAGCAGCTCAGAGTCGGAAGGTTCTGGCAATTGGAATGGAGATGCCCCATTGCGCGATATGCAAAGATGATATACTTACAGTAAGAGAAGATATATGCGGTTGTATCGGATCTTTAAATTCACTTTCAGTTCGATTTCTCGACTCCACCTGACGTCCCGCTCACACAGGTTGTAAGCGCAGCAGTGGATATGTGCTTGGGTGAGGATTACATCATCCCGCTAGTTATCTCAAGAGTTTACCTTGTTCATCGTCGCATCATGTATAGTCTGGCCCTACGCTGGTCGCAGTACACTGGATTCATCCTCTCTCCCCGGCTGAAAAGAGGTGGGGCTAATCTTGATTAATTTGAATTTTGTTAATGCTTGTTTCGACCCCTGGGTCTTTGGCCCACTTCACCAAGCAGCTTGCGGCTCAACTGTCCAGAACAAAACATCAGGACAGATCGGGTTTTTCTGTTCGCCACCGCATGGCCGAGGCCGACAAAAACTTCATCTACGCCGACGTGTATGCGGGTTGCGGGTACATATGTCGTCGCTGGTTTGGTGTGTTGGCTCAGATCAGGCGATCGATCAACTCGGCTGTTTGTTGCCCCAATCCCTTCCCTTGGATGAAAGCGGCCTTGTTTGGCTCAGGCTTGCAATTAACACAATTCCGAACCTGCGGCCTTTGTGCTAAAGAACCAGTCCGTTCGCGTACAAGAATGCATGGTGATTTTGTATCACAATTGAGTTGCCTTCAGCTCTGGGAGGCCCGCTGATCACTATTTCTGTCGGCCTCTGGACAGGTTGCATCAAACACTCATTCTGGGTGCTAGAGAGATCGCTTCAAAGCGAATAATCATATGTTGAGGCACACACTCGATCTACTAGTTAGGGGACCACCTTATCTTAATTAGTCTCATATGCATGGAATATAGCTATCAACACGCATGTGGACGTACGGAGTACAATGGCACAAGTGTCGCCGAGATACATGTTATTTACCTGCCCGCACTGTGTTCCGTTGGGCCCCCAGATAACGAAGATCAGTCATGCGTGTCAGCGTTACTCAGGGTTTGGTGTTTAGACTCGCGGAAGCTTGCTCCGGTAACCAGTCTACAATTAATCGCCCTATCAGAAGAAGTCGCAACAGTCCCAGGAGGTGTGATTATTTACACGACTCTAGCTAGAAGATGAAACACCTGCTTTCTGACTTCCGAATTTTTTTGACACGTGGTACGGGAAGGTTGTAATCGGTGGCTAGAAACACCTCGCCTCCACCCTATGTTCGAGGAATGAAACCTATCGTGATGGAGGGCGTTGTACCATTGTAAACAGATCGGCCCATGGGTTAGTGATTACGCATTTTGGGTGCGCTGTTGACTAATTAAATTCGTCCTGCGCTGTGATATCCCTGTCAAAACTGGCACAGCGCGGCGATGTCAAGTGCCATGCGACGGGTGCTGCCCCACTGGATCCATGCTGATCAACGACAAAGGCATCTTCCCCCCTATCTCGCAACCGACGCCCGCTTTATCCCTGCAAGTCGATGCCTCCTGCATCGTGTCATCCTCTCACCGACAACCTCCCATCGTTTCTGCCATTGCTTGGAGTCGACGACAGGGGTGTGAGGGTATCGGCCCTCATCGCAGACATCCCTCTATCCCCCATTGGGAGGCGCGGGATGGGCTTTAGGTGGCCCTGGTCCTGCGGATCCGGTCTTTAGTACGTTGCAACGGATTTCAAAAGTAAAGGTGCTCGTTGATTGTGTATTATGTGTCAGGGCACAGCCCTCGACCCCACACACCCTCAGACACCCCTTCCCCCCTCCTAACCACCCTTCCCCCATTTTCCCCCATTTTTCCTCCACTGTTCCGCAATAGTACAGGTACGCGAACCCATGGGAACGTTCTGGGCGAGCGACTCGCCCAGAAACCAGCACAGCCACAACCGTGGGAACGTTCTGGGCGAGCAGCTCGCCCAGAATCTTCCCACGGTACCTAATATGGAAACTCAGGGAAGACCTGACAACTGCACAGTCCTCAGGCTCCTTTTGTAGCGGCCTCACAGGGGGTTGAGAAGGTTACCCTTCTTCTCAACTCATTCCCTGTGAAGCCCAGGGCAAGTCCCCTCAGCGACTTTGAGGAATTAGTGGCTGGAGAAGACTCTCCAGTGCCACTCCCAGGCCTCATCGCTACGTCCCCTCTGGACAAGGGATGGACCCTGACATTATGGCGCTATGTGCGAATTAGACATTCTAATACCCATGTCTGGGGTGCTGGTAACATCGTTGTCGGGCAACGATGAAACTATGGCCGGTGGTCGTGCTTGTACCTCAGCATGTGAAGCCTGAGGTCGTTGGCATCTGGGATGTAGATCCGGTTGTCTAGCCGTACGAGGCCCTCTGTGTCCCTAGACCAACGGGAATCCTCTGGTATCATGGCAGTGAGATAGTCCGCAACAGCAGGGTCGTTGGGAAGGGCGGTGATGATGTCCTTATGGATGGCATCGACATCAACGAGGGAACTCGCATGGAGGACGGGTTTGACAAGGTATGTAGCTCTTAGGGAGGATGTGAGCTGCTCCTGCATGAACACCGGTCTGAAGTTTTGAGGGTTAATGTGAGCGTAGTCCCTATCCCCCTCTTTGGGGTAGATGTCCCAGCATCTAGTCAATGCATCCGGTTTTGCACCCAGTTTTCCCAGGCAGAAACGGACCACCATGTTGAATTGGGATAAAAACTCTGACCACTGTGCCTGGCGGTGGGTCAAGAGTTTCATGGTGCAAAAATATTCCAAGTTTTTGTGGTCAGTGACCACATCAATGGGTGTTTCCCGAGCCCTCTAAGTAGTGCCACCACCCTCGAAAGGCTTCATAGATGGCTAGAAGTTCTTTGTTGTGGGTGTCATAATTGAGTTCCGGCACCGTGTCAGAAACGGTATTCGAGGTGATTGTCATATCTGTGCATACCCAACCCCGCCCCGATTTCCGGACCTCCTTCTTCCCCACTGTCATATCTGTGCATACCCGATCCCAACCCGACTCCCGGACCTCCTCCTTCCCCACCTCCGGAGTCTTACCCTACCGCTGCCCGTTCCGATATTCACCTTCGGTCCTGGCAACACACCTCCTTTTACCTCCCATGCCACCTCTACTCCTCCTTCCCTCTCCTCCCCTATCTCCGTCTGCTCCGATATTCACCTCGGACCGAACACCGCCCCTCTCGCCACCCTCCTACTACTCCTCCTCCTACTCCGCTCCTCCTTCACAACACCTCCACCCTTCTGTCACCCTCCTACGCTTCCCCTGTCCGCTCCGATACTCACCTTCGGACCTGACAACTCTCCTCCCTGCCACTCCTTCTCTCTTACCTTTCTCCTCTCTCCTCCCTCTGGTACTCTTCCACTGACCCTCCGCCAAGTTACGACCTTCCACTGCTGTCCCGTACTTCGTACTTGGGCACCGCTCGTATCTTTGCTCCGAGCCTCCATCATAGTCCCTACCTCGGACTTTGACTCCACCTCGGTCTTAGTCCATTGCATTGGTGACCTCATACTACATAAACACCATTGCCAATATTCCTCGGACTTTCAACCCCACCTCTGTAACCTGTCACGACCGACAAATCCCGGGGCTCCATCAGCGGCGAACCAATGCCGATAGGCGAATCCGCCGACCCGAAACCCATCCTAACCAGCCCCCAACCCCATGTCTGGCCCCCTGCCTTACTGCATGAGACTTGGCCAATAATCAGAACCTAGACCCTGCCGGTATTCCGACCTTACCTCCAGTTCCTGAGCCCTTGGCGCTCCCGGCATTCAGTCATGCCTGCCTTGTCTCCATCTGAACCACACTCATCGCTTCCCGCTATGTGGTCACAGCCATGCCCTGCTTCCATGCATTCCGCACCCTCTGCCCACTCCGCACCCTCTGCCCATCTCTGCACCTTCTGGCCACTTCTGGTTGCCCTTGACACCTCTGGTCAGGTCAACACTCCCACTCCCCTCTGTACCTCTGTTGGCCTTCATGCTGTCCCTGTGTGACAGTGCTGGCAGATCAACCTCTGTTCGCGGACTTGTGTCGGCACCGCACCGACCCCGCTTATTTGCGGACTTGTATCGGCGCCGCGCGCTGACCTCCGCTTTTCCTCTGGTCATTTGTCACTTGGCAGCTTATCATTCATTCCTTGCCGAGTGCCATCTATTGTTTGCTTCCCTGCCAATATCGGCATTTGATCCCCTCTTTATTGGCACTAAGTTATTGATCTCATTCAGTTATTCATCAATAACCCTTGCCACTTATTGTTTATTGATCTGTTCCTTGTTTCCAGTTCCCGGGCTCTTGTCCTTATTTAGTTTGACAATCCCCGCTTATCTCCGCGCCGGACTGACCGGCCTTTCTATATTTCCTCTTGCCTATTTATATACCTTGTAAATACTTTCGGGGACCCCAGTCTGAAATCAACTAGAGTACCCCCCTGTCTGGTCTGAGTCTCTCCTTCTGCAAAGGGGGCTTCCCCCCCTCTGAGTCCATGCTCGCGGAGTCCATGCTCCTCCTACAGGTCCGCTCCGCCCGCAAGTCTTGTTTGAAGTCCGCTGTAAGTGTCAGTTTGTAAATACGGGATCTCCCCCAAACGTCAAGCTCAGGGCACAGCGCTCCACCTGAGTCGCTGAGGCCGCGATCCCACTCTGCTAACCTTGGACAGCGCTTCCGGACACGCCGCATATTTCTGCCCGCATATCCGTGCGCGCGCTCCAACAGACCTCTGCCACAATCTCCGACTCCGACAATAATTCAGCCTCTGACAATATTCTAGATCTCTGACATAACCTCCGTAAGCTCCGCAACCTCCGAGCTTCGTGGATCTCCTTCAGCACTTTCGCCTCTTGTAATGTATCTTTCGCATTTTCCTGTCAGGGCCTGGCCTCCGTCCAGGGGCGGCCCTACCTCAGAGCTGGACACTTGCGGTGTCCCAGGTAGCCAGGTGCTGGATCCTATCCCAAGCTCCTCAAACTCACTAAGCGGGGATTGAGTTGTCATGTATTATGGAAGGTAGCTACAACTTGCCTAAGCGGGGATTGAGTTGAGAAGAAGGGTAAGTTTCCCTATTCCCCGCTTGGCTGCTATAAAAGGAAATGTAGTGTACAGTTCGTAACGTGACTATGGGTAGAAGCCGAGCATGTTCCCGCGATGTGGAAAAGGTGTCACATGGGTTAAGGCGAGTTGCTCGCCTTGACCCACGTGATTTTTCCCACGGGTTCGCATGCGGGCTGTAGTTGTGAAAGATGGGAGGATGAGGGAAGTGGGGGGAGGTTAGGGAAGGTGGTTCTGGGGTTGTATGGTCAGGTGTGGTTGCCCTGACATTTCCCCTCATCCCTATTTGGACTGCTGCTTCTTCCCATTCTAGCCAGTTAGTCATCATCCCCACTTCTCCTCATCCTCCTGCCCCTCTGAGCCTCGCCCTCCCTACCTCCTTTCAGACGTATCACAGGTCCTGCCTTATGACCTTCGGTACCGCTCTGCTTCTGTCTACCCTTTGTTCCTGTTCGGACGTCTTCATTCCGATTCGGATCCCCTTTGTCTCCTTGTGCTTTTGCCCCCTCCATTATATATATCGGCGCTTGTACATACTCGTTTGGGGCTCAGTCCGAAATCAACCTGAAATGCCCCCTAGAGACTTCCTGCTCGCCTACTGTGAAA